TCAACATTTAATAAATTGTGAATTCTTTTCAAAGAATTTAAGGGCACCTTAAATGGGAATTTACATGATTTTCACATAAAATGTATGGATATAATAAATAATTTATGGAAAATCCATAATATCATTACAAATATTTTGCGCAATTAGGGATACGTTCGCGTACCCTGATTATATTTTTAAAAGCAAAAATTCGGATTATGCGTACGCGCAACTTCGAGCGAATATTTAATAAAAGGATTTTTCCAAAGGCGTTAAATCAATTTCATAAAAACCTGAGATGTACGATTCACTATTCAAGAAAAACAAATATTCTTGATTCGACATAATTTCGAAAAATGATTGTTTAATAAATATATTACAAAAATTATTGTGTACACGTACGCGTGACACAATTCCGCATTTTTTTAAAATTTATAACACGAATATACGTACGCGTAATTCGATTCAAAGAAGGGTCCTTAATCACAATAAGTAAAAGCGGTAGAAAAATCACGTAACAAAAAGTATTTAATAAAAATCAAGATAATTAAGCCAATAATAAAAACAGTTAAGCGACCGTGCTAGAACCACGGAATTCGGAAATGCCTAACACCTTCTTCCGGATTAACAGAATTCCTTACTCAGGATTTCTGGTTCGCAGAATAATAAACAGAGTCATATTCTCCTCGATTCAGGGATTATAATTGGTGACTTGGGACGCCTTAAAATTCCCAGGTGGCGACTCTGAAACAAATAAACAAATCCCGTTTCGACTGTCCTTTAATTGGAGAAAACTCCCCACGCGCCCCGTGGGCGCGGTAAAAGGAGGTGCGACAATGAATAAAGAAGATTTCCTCCGTTGGAGATTTGAACATTGATTTTCCTTAGTCCTAGATAACAATGTGAATTAGCAGAGGATTAAGCATTAGCAATCAACATGTCAACGCACAGAAAAAACAAGCTTGGTTAAAAATACACACGCTTCTTCCGTCGAGGAGTTACGTGGAGCATATGTATAAGATGTAACATCATCAACATCGAATAGGGAAAGATGGCATACATCTACTTAACCAACACATCTTCAGAGAGTCACAGATCATAAATGGACAATGCCACTGACGTAGCTGATAAATCTTTATCCAGAAGCAACTAATGAAGCAATATCTCTATCAAATCCTCCACAAAGTTTCATCTTAACACAAACTTTTTTAGAGTATCTAGCACAGCAGACACTAAAAATTATACCAGGGACTTCCAATTAGTCATGCCTGTTGAGGAGAATTTGCTTTGCAAGTTACTAGCTTTTATCGTCCAAGAAAAAAGGTAGCCCGATGCACTAAGCTTCCGTTATGCACGGGGTCCGGAGGGGGGCGAACCACAAGATTTATTGTATGCAGTCTTACCCTGCATTTCTGCAAGAAGTTGTTTTCATGGCTGGAACCCGTGACCTGGTCACATGGCAGCAACTTTACCAGCTCCCTTCTTATCATCCAAGAACCACCATGAAAATGGTTATGGCTATAGCAAACTTTTGATTTAGCCATTATCATACACATAAAGTTAAACAAAATCAAACTAAAGTTCACCAGAATGGGAAGTGAGATGTATATCTGCACATTGTATTGAAGATTGCAAATACAAAATTAAAAAGGAATGAATGAGAAAAGTTGAGAGTAGATCATTGTATGACCAATTACAGCAACTAAATAGCAGCATGTTTTCTCTTTTTTAACTTTTGTTCACAATATTCATAAGCTCTCACTAGAATCACCATTAACATTTGACCACCTGCGGAGAGTGCATGCCACTAGGCCTCTTCCTCCAAGAAACCCGAACCATGACTTAGCTGCTGCTGATCGACCTACATTGCTTGTCGATGGAATATCAGTGGCACCAATAATGGGCAGTGTATTCGCTATAGGTTGAAACTCTACTGCATCTTCTAGTGCTCCACCATCACTTGCACTACCATCCACAGGTTCAATATCAATCTCCCCAACATCAAGATTCACTGCTAGCGATCGCCTCCTAGCTCTCAACCAATCTGCAACATCACCTGTCACGTGCTTGCACTTCTTAACCTTAATTTTCACCAAATTCGGACACCCCCAAGCGAAAGACTCGATCCCTTCATCCGTCACTTCACATCCCTTGATACACAGCTTCTTCAAGGCCATACATTTCGTGGCAATACAAGATACTTCAGGATCTCCAATAGTGTCACTGCCACAAAGTGCCAATCTTTCTAACTTTTGACAATTCGAAGCTATCGCCAACAAACTAGCCGACGTAGGATTCAAACCAATAAGCACCAATTCTTTGAGATTCAAACTATTCTCAGCAATTGCAACCAAACCCTCATCTCCTATCCTATTTGTCCTCCATCCATCAATGTGAAACTTCCTCAATAACTTGCATTTCCTAGCCACTGCTACAACACCCACATCCGTGCATTCGGGCGTTTTCACCAAATGCAAAATCTCCAAATTTGGACAATTCGATATCGCGTTAAGCCCAGTATCACTAACTTGAAGCCTCTCCAAATGAATCTCAGCAACATGATTTTCCCTACTCCCAATTGTCTCAAAAAGCCTATCCCAATCACCCAAACAACGCAACAACTTCAAAGTCCTCAAATTCGTCGACCCAATAATTAATGGCCCAAAGCACTGCCCATTATACAACTCTTTCAAACATATAGATTTAAGCGATGAAGCAGCAGCTCCAGGCCCAATTGGGTCAGCTGCAAACCCATCATTAATACCCCGAAGACGCTTCACAGATAATTCCTCAAGGGTAGAACAGTGATCAAGCAAAGCATTCATACCTTTGGCTCCAAACATGCAAGACCCACATGAGAATTTCTTCAAACTCTTACAATTCTTTGCAAAAGCAGACATACCCACATCGGTAACATCACGGCAGCCACGCAGCTTTAGGCGCGTGAGGTTAACGCAACGGAGGGAGATAAGGGTCAAAGCTTCATCATTTATGCTCACGGATTTGCGGTCACATCGGAGAGCGAGTTTCGTAACGGAATCGAAACGAGAGAAGATGGTAGGAATATGAGGGAGGAACTCAGCTTTTGCGTTGAGGGAAAGGCGGTGACGGCTTTGACCCTCCACTAAAAGCCATCTCCGGCAGACGAGGGAACATTTTTTCCGGTCGCCTGAGCTCAGGCACTGGAAAATTAAAGCTAAACATTCATCGGGAAGCTCATATGTGTAATCTGGGTTTTCGAAATCCGAGGGGAGGATTGATTCATCTTCATCTGAATTCATGAGGGAGAAAAAATCAGATTCGGAGGTGGAACGGTGGTGGTTGGGAAGTGGGCTCGGGTGAAGGTTACGGTGACGGAGTTTCGGCCCACCACCACAGTGGGTCGATGAATATTGGCCCATTTTGTTTGAATGAGAGAAGAGGGAAACTGAGAGTTTTAGGGTTGGAAATGGGTTGCGCTGCAGGAATTGAAGATTGGAAAGGGGAGATGTTTAATATAGGAAGATTAATAAGGGAGAGGTTGACATTTGACTGGGTTAAACGGGTGGAATATTGAAAGAGAGGAAGAGGAGGAAGAAGAAGAAAAAGAGCTATAGAGGAAATGTGCGCGTCCTCGTCAATATCGTCAATGGCCGACTAATAATATTGGAATATCCAGTTGGAAGAGGAAATTATATGGACCAAAATGCCCTTTATACTTCTTCTTTGTCTACTTCTTTTTGCACATGTAATTTATTTTAGGGGAATAGTGTTTAAAGACGTAGCAGATCAGTGTCTGCTGTGACAATTTCGAGTTGGAATGAGGCGTTACATGCTTTACTTGCATCTTATATGTGATTGTTAAATTAATTTGCATATTGTTTTACAACAAAAATATCGAGTTCAACTTGCATATATCTCGATTAACCTATCAGCTAGTTGTATAGGATAAAATTGATTTATATTAAATGCTCGAATAGCAGCGTGACACCTGGAATCGAAAGCAAACGAAAGATAAAGCGAGTGAAAACCAAGATCGATGACAACAACTTTAGTTGGTACCGGGTAGATCCCGAAAGGAACATAGTCAACGGGAGCAAACGAATATTGTCACCAGATGACATTTAATGAAAAATATTTTCCAGTATTAAATACGCAGCCATTGCAAAAAAAATTGACATTCATGGCCTGACGTTACATGCTCATCAATGACCCCCATTATTATTATTATTTAAGAGGGGCTTGATCCAAGGACCTTGTCCCTTGATATAGCTATAAATAGTGACTTCAACAACCATTATAACACACGAAAAACTTTGACAAACTTATGCTTCATATTATCCTCAAGCTAAATAATACTTTATTTTCTGTTTAACATTATTTTTATTGCTGCATTCGGAAGCCTTGCTCCCGAAACCATGCTATCTGCCATTTATCTCAATTGCAACGTTAAATTTTATATTTTTAATTCATTTATCATTTTTGGGATCAAATCAGTTCGCTTGTCTATAAATCACGCAACAAATTCAACTGTATCGTTTTACGGGTAAACAGTTTGGTGCCCACCGTGGGGCTTAGACAACTGTGTAATTTGAGTTGATCCTTGCATCTATTACTAATGTGTTTGATTCTTTCTTTCATAGCAAAAATCGGAAAAAATGGCCGCTAATGATGTCAATATCACACATAATGTTGTGGCGCAAGAAAATCTGCCTCAACATAAGGATTCGATCAGTTGAAAAACAACATCAAAATGACTATACACCACTATCCAAACTTATACCAATCCTTAGAACACCTAAAACAACATCAAAACGACGAATCAACCACGGATTCAAGCCTAAGAACTCCAAAACTCTAAATTTACGCTTTCGATCAAAACGTCTATCAAACCTTATCCGAATGACCTGAAATTTTGTACACACGTCACATTCAACACTACGGAGCTACTCCAACTTCCAGAATTCCATTACGGCTCTCGGATCAAAATCTCACTATCGAACCGGAAACTTCAAAAATTCAACTTTCGGCATTTCAAGCCTAAATTAGCTCGGACCTCCAAAATACCATCTGAACACGCTCCTAAACCCGAAATCACCCAACGGAGATAACGGAACCATCAAAATTCCATTCAGATATCGTCTTCATACTGTTCCGACTATGGTTAAATTTCCAAAACTTAAGCTCTCACTTAGGGACTAAGTGTCCCAAAACTCTCCAAAACTCAAAATCAAACATCCCGGCAAATTAAAAATAGTAGAAATAAATATGGGGAAAGCAATTAATAGGGGATCAAGGCGTAAATTCTTAAAACGACTGGCCGGGTCGTTACATCCTCCCACACTTAAATATTCGTTCGTCCTCGAACGAGGATAGAGACATACCTGAAGTAGTGAAAAGATGAGGGTAACGGTTGTGCATATCCTGCTCGGTCTCCCAGGTCGCCTCCTCTATCGGCTGACCCCGCCACCGAATCTTTACTGATGCAATGCTCTTTGACCTCAACTTTCTAACTTTCTTGTCCAATATTGCCACTAGCTCCTCAACATAAGATAGATCCTTGTCCACTCTTCCGTCCACTGAAAAAAATAGATGCCTTGTTTAAATATTCAGAAACTGTATTGAGCTTCTGAAAGCTCAACTCACACTCTTCCGTCCACTGGAACGGAGCACCATTCTGGGTCAGTCTGGTCATAGGGGCTGCAATCGATGAGAACCCCTCCACAAAATGACGGTAATAACCTACCAAGCCAAGAAAACTACGGATCTCTATATCTGAGGATGGTCTGGGCCAACTCTGCATTGCCTCTATTTTCTTCGGATTCACCTGAATACCCTCACTCGACACCAGGTGGCCTAAGAATGTCACGGAATCTAACCAAAACTCATATTTCAAGAACTTAGCATATAACTTCTTTTCTTTCAAGGTCTGAAGCACTATCCCCAGGTGCTGCTCATGATCTTCCCGACTCCGAGAATACACCAGAATATCATCAATAAAGATAATGACGAACGAGTCAAGATACGGCCAGAACACACTGTGCATCAAATGCATAAAGGCTGATGGGGCATTGTCTGCCCAAATGACATAACAAGGAACTCGTAATGACCATACCGAGTCCTGAAAGCAGTCTTCGGGATATCTGGCTCCCGAATCTTCAACTGATGGTAACCTGAGCGCAAGTCAATCTTAGAAAACACCCGTGCACCCTGAAGCTGGTCAAACAGATCATCAATACGAGGCAAAGGATAATGGTTCTTCATTGTAGCTTTGTTCAACTGGTGATAATCAATACACATATGCATAGAACCATCCTTTTTCTTCACAAACAAGATAGGAGCACCCCAAGGTGATACATTGGTCCTAATAAAACCCTTATCAAGCAATTCTTGTAATTGATCCTTCAACTCCTTCAACTTAGGAAGAGCCATACGATACGAAGGAATAGAAATGGGCTGAGTGCCCAGCAACAAATAAATGCGAAAATCAATATCTCTATCAGGAGACATGTCCGGAAGATAAGCTGGAAACACATCGGGAAAATCCCGTAATAATTGGGCTGAATCAACTGAAGGGGTATCAATACTGACATCTCGCACATAAGCTAAATACGCATCACACCCCTTCTCAACCATTCACTGAGCCTTGAGGAAAGAAATAACTCTACTGGGAGTGTGATCTAAAGTACCCCTCCACTCAACACGCGGTACACCTGGCATAGCAAGCATCGCAGTTTTGGCATGACAATCAAGAATAGCATAATGGGGCAACAACCAGTCCATGCCCAAGATAATATCAAAATCTACCATATTGAGCCATAATAAATCGGCTCTGGTCTCAAAACCACTAAGAGCAACCAAACACGACCAATAAATGCAGTCCACAACAAGAGAATCTCCCACAGGAGTAGAAACATTGCCATGCCCCAACCTCGGGAGGCACAACCGGTGCTCAATCGAGTGAACCCAAATGAGAAAGTCTTATCAAACACTTCTTACCCAACTCAATGCGATTAAGGGATCCGATGTCGTTTAATTAGACAATAAAAGGGGTTGTACATTCAACATGGGTAGCTAATTTTATAACACAACCTTAACCATAGTTAGGCTTCCAAGATTCCATACAGTTATATTGTAGAAAAAACAAGAGTACAAGGTTACAATATGGTTCATTGACTTATCCAATACCCATACATAACACACACAAACATCTACGGAGCCTCTAAGGATACAAAAGACAGTGATAACAAGGCCCCAGCTATACCTCAAAATGGATATTTATAACAAAAGGCGTACAACATAACCCCTTGAAGGAGGAAGGGGCTCACCAAGGTTTTAAGAAGAGGATGCTCCGCTACACACGATCGGCACTATCCGCTATGGAGCCACCTACATTCATTTAAAAATGTAGCGCCCCCAGCAAAAGGGACGTTAGTACCATGGAATAGTACTAGTATGTATAACTAAACACCATCTTGTTAGAAAGAACAACCATATAAGAATAAAGAGGAAATCGTAAAGATAACAAAGTTTCAAATAAGCACCATGCCGACAATGTAAGGAGGTTCACATGATTTTTCACATAGTTCTTGAAATTTTAGATTGGAGCATCCCACACTGTTGCATCATTATTCATATTACCACCGCTTCCGTGAGCGGAGTTCGATCACGGCCCGATCGGCTAAGCCGTCTCCCCGAGACGTTACCATTATTTCGTTCACACTTTCCAGTTTCAATCATCAATATATTACCACTATGTATGTGTGTGTGTGTGTATATATATATATATCACACCAATGGCGTCTAATCACGGCCCGATCGGCTAAGCCGTCTCCCCGAGACGTTACTATTTTCCGTTATTCATCTCACACCAATCTTTGGTTACACATGTATTAGTTTACCGGCACTTGGGGCCACAGTTTCCACATTCCACAACTCACGTTTCACATTGCTCCCATTTTCAACATTTACCTTGCCACTTAAATTCATAGGCACATACAAAAGCAATTTAAGTCATAAGTATAGAGGGAAATTCGTCAAGTTTGGCATACTAGTCCCAAAGTAACCTTGGCATGACAGTTAGGCATTTAGCACATAAATCATGTTCTCCACACATCTTCCATTTACAAGAATAACACATTAAAAACATAAAGAAGTACTTACCACATACATTTTCACAACATCAATTCACTTAACATAACAAGCACTACATCAATTACGTTTCGAACTTACAACACTTACATGGGCACCATGGAAGCTCAATTTCTAAGAGGAGGAGGTTTTAGCCATACATACCTCAATAAAGCTTTACCCTAATTCTTATAAAATTCTGGGACTCTTAGCACTTCAATCTATTGTATAAGAATTACAATTGAACCAAGAATTAGAGACGGGATTAAAATTCTAGCTTGTTTGAGCATATTATCAAACATAAAAGGTGCATTATGATCTTAGGCCCCTTTTGAAAGAAATTTCTTCAATATTATACCCCAATTGTTGTTTCTTTAGTTCTCATCCTCTCCATACCCCATTATCTGTTGTGCATGCAAGATTATTAGCCCTTATATCCATGTACCCACTTGCTAATTACCTATTTTAATAGAAATTTGAAATTATTGATGAGGTTACAATTCTTACCTCTTAGGATGAAGACCTAGTAGCTTCAATTGATAATCTT